CAGACAGAGTTTACGGGGGCATAGTCCAGCCCATACGTACCGGATTCCCTGCCTTTTCTCTGGCCTTTCCTTACTGTCTCCTGCGCAGCTAACTGATCGTAGGCGAGCGGCTCCTGCCAATAGGTGCGTCTACCTGTATGCTCACGCACATGAGTCCTAGGACAGCCATGCGCTACCCGCGACGTACCTAGTCTGCGTGCTGAGAGCCACTTCTTGTCTCGGACAGCTGTAACAGGGGCAGGCGGTTTGGCGAGAGCGCCGGGAAGGCGGGTGCCCTGGCTTGATGTCAGTTGGATACCGCAGGAGGGTGGGATAAGCGTACTTGAATGGCATCTCCGGCAACATTGTACAACCCGAAGTCGGCAGTCTTTATTGCGTCCGGGACGTTCAAGACATTTGGTGTTGCTTTCACGACCTGCAACGATCTTTGTTAGAGAAAAAACTTGACTGAAAGAGCAGCACCGTACCTTCACCACGACACCGTGATATCCAACCTTTCCGGGTGCTGAAGAGAGGTTATCGCGAGTGCCGTTGAAGTAGACAAAGCGGCCGCGAAGACCGGAGGGGACGGTTGCAAGAGCATCGATGCGCGAATAGGGATATTGTGAACAGCCTTATGTGCACACATTAGCAAACGCAGAGACACCTGACTGAGAGCGTAGTACACTTACGGGAGGGAGAACCGGACGACGTCTACGCCGAGAACAGTAAGAGTTGTTTTAGGGAGTGGAACCACTTTTATCGGACCGGGGTCGACCGAGATGGCAGCCGGAGTCAAAAGGGGAGGGGCGAGAGTAACTGACACTAAGGTTTAGGTAGTAGCCGATAGGCAAGGTAGTGTACGTGGGCAGAAAGGGACGAAGAGCGAAGAGGGGATGGTGGAAGAAGGAAGTAACTCGATTCTCTCGCGCGCAGAGAGGGCTGACGTCACGACTCACGTGCAGCGTCTCAAAAAACGGCAGGTTGTCTCTTTGTCCTCGCGTGGTTTTGTCTGCGATTACATTCTACGCGAGTGACTAGATGAAGCAAGAGTCGACGGTGCTGACGAGGGCAGAGAGGGATACGCGCTGTGTGAGAACGTCGTGTCGCTCAATCTCCTCCCTCTCTCCTGCTCGTACTACTTCATAGACATCGTTGAGGTGTTGGGCTCAAGTGCGCGACCGCATTGCCAATGAGATGGGAGGGATGGAACGGCAGGCCTGGAGAAGCAGGCCTTCGCGAGAGCCGTGGACTCAGGAACACGCGGGTGTAGAAACTTGCGGGGCGCGTAGTTTATTGACCCGGACGTAGGTGGATGACAACCTGACTTGGACAGACGGAGTGTACTTTAGCGGTGGCGGAGCATGGTAAGATGCATGCATCTTCGAACTCATACTCCAGACTGGAAGCCGTACGTGGGCTTCAATGCGCAGGCGCCAGGCGTATCAGTTAATCGGTAACAGCCGAAGTCAGGGCCTTGCGCTACAAACACACGAGTGTATATGAGTGTATATGACGGATGCATCCAAGATGTATGATGTTAGAGATGACAGTCTTATAATGTGCAGCGTTATGTAGCAGCACCCACTTCCGCGGCGAACCTTCTGCTCGGTTGCACGTTGAATCCCTCCCTTTCCGCCCTCATGCTCAACCCCCATCCACAGCGTCGGTTCTGAACGATGCTCAAGCTAAATCACCTGGAGCAATGATATCCCATGATGGGTCTAGAACTATGGCTGATAGGGTATCGAGCGCGCCAGGTCATCAGTATCCTTGTCGGCTGTGGAGGAACATGATGGAGTCACCTTCGACGTGCTTGTCCATCTCACTCTCTGCAGTTTCAATCCGGCGCCCTATGAGAATGTTGGAGTCACCTTCCGTCAGGAGAGAGAGCCACCGCAGCGTACGTTTCACTGCGGACGTCGGTGACGGTAGACTTGTGCGCATGGGCGGGGTGATGGGGCGCTTTCTTTTACTCGAACCACTGGGGAGTGCGGCGGAAGACTGCGTTTGTCGAGCAGGATGCGATGAATGCTGTTGTGACTGTCGTCAACATGAGTAAAATTAGATAGGCCGAGTGGGTGCGCAAACATGTACTTACCCCGTGAGTCGATCCGGATGCCTGATCCGAGGCCGATACGGATACTCGAGACTTGAGACTTGAGAGTACTGATTCAGTCACAATCAGCTGGGGGTGTTCAGATGCTAGACTTGATCGCGGGTGTACTTCGAGGACGCGTAATGGGCACCAGGCCAACAGGAGAGTCGCGCAATACACTGTCTGCCAGATGTCGTCAACATGAGATGGAATCACATGCTACGCCTGATGCACCTGCTCCTTGCCTCGGGATAGCTGCTAGCTATTGTCACGAAGGAACGGCTGGATATCAAAAAAGCCCTCGTACTCGCCTTGGTTTCGCATTGCGGCGATGATGGTTGGCGCTGGATCTTCCACAGGTGCACCTACCCCGCCTATCAGGAACTTATGCCACCGCGCGACATCTGGCCCCGGTGGGGAAGATACTCCCCAGGTGCTGACGCGATCCCATGCCGGGTTCAAGTGCGCTATCCGAGCTATATTGATCCACCATGAGTAATGCATCACGATACATAAGGAAATCCACGTTCATTGGGCGTACCTCCTTGTTCCGCGGGTTTCCACCAAAATCCGCAATATATACCATCTTCTTTATTGCCGTGATCGATGCACTCGCTCTCCCTGATCCATGTGGGGCATCTCCAGCTCCCATCGTCGTTCTGAATAGCATCAAGTCCATGATTGCAGATTACAGCATTACTCCTCGCCTCGCCTCCAGCGAGCGGAAACTGCGAGTGCTGGCAATTATTCCAGATCGTAGTTATATTACATGGCTTCAGGCGCTGGAGGAGATACACGTGGTAGACATTCAAGTACATATGCACGCTGACAAACATGGTTGACGGTGACGAGGTATAAGATCGCGGCGAAGTAGAAGATGACAATCGTGGTCAAGTCAAGGCGTCACCTGAGGCTCATGATGCGCGGCACGAAATGGCGGCGAGAAATGGCGGTGATGGCCATGTGGCGATAGCTTAGCTTCAATTCTGCGCCGGACGGCCATGTCCAACACAATGATCAAAGTACCCAAGACGGGCTTCCGGCACGTCTCACTCGAACCGCCATATTGCTGATGGGTAAGACTAGTACGTTCTGTGAAGACAACTCGCGATTAATCGAGCGTTCACGAACCCGATGTAGGGGTCCTCGGCGTACGGAAAATTCGAAGGGGGGCGCACAGTCAACTGTATTTCTGAGTCGGGTACCGTGCAAGCGGGAAGGTGCGAGGAAGAACGCCGTGCGCGAGAGGCGGTCGATGGAGGGAAGAGAGGTAGCGCGCCCGTCACCTACAGCGTTGAGGACAGGTCTGTGGTTCAGGTAGGTATGTAGCTGCGGATTGAATTACGTCGAATGTTCGTCACGGTATGGGGCGCGTGATACGGTATCGGCGGATAGAGCGTCGGGATAGGTGGACAGAAGGAGAATAGATTGAAGATGGGCAGAACAATAACGCTCTCTGTCTTCTATCCGAAATGAGTCCTTCCTCGAGCGCAATCTTGTTGCACTAATTATGCATGTGCCCTATCTTAGCTACTCTTTAAAGCCTCTCTGAGCATGTAAACCAGAGCTATAGAGGCGATTGAACTGCCCGTCCGCGATAAAAAAGCGCGCGGCTCGCGCGGGAAAGATCACCGACGCGAGCCCGAGCGGCGTCGTGCCCATTACGACACAGCACCATCGGCGAGCTGCACTCGCCTCCTTGCTAGCTTGACATCCCAAAATACCACCGTCACCCACAAGAGCCCTACAATGAAGTCTTCGTCTATACCTCGCTCGCCACGAAGTAGAGAGGATGACGATTGACGCCATCGCCGCGCACAGCGCCTTTCCAGAGATCACAGATGTACGGAACCATTCCTATGCTCGCTCCATGCATTCTTCAGAACCGCACCATTGGCGACGAACATCACCGGCCTTCTCGTTCATTTGCTGCAAGACTTGCTAGAGGAGCCCTACGAGTACATACACACTAAAGCTTTGTCCTTCACTGTTCACGAAACTCGTAGAAGTCGCCTCGACTCGCACACGTTGTGTAACGCCGGCACAGCGGCACATCGGGCGCGCGATTCCCAGCATGATGTCGCCCGCTTGTGCCCGCGCCATACACATCTTCGGGGGCTCGATCGTTGTACTTTCGGTTCTGCTATCAGCACCTGCAGGAAGTTCGTCGCAATTGATTGGACTCCATCGACAGTATACACCAAGCTGGCGCAGTGTGCTCGGACGATTCCATACCGCTACATGGTCCTTCATTATGAACGTCGTGTCTGCAAGCGCGCGCGCGCGCGACATTGAGCGTGTCGCGCACGATCGGCGCGCGTCCTGCCTGGTGTGAATCGAGTAGTGATGGTGGGGAGAGGCCTTCGACGACGAGCGCGGGCTTCCAGGCAAGGTTCATCATGTCGAGTGTTCCGGTGTTGACTTGACTGCCAGTTGGAATGTAAACATGTGCACCATCTGAAGAGGCATCTAAGTACTATTTCGCGCACTGGTGCAGTTTCGGGTCTCACCGCTCCCGATGAAAACGCATCCAACGTTGAACTGATCCGCGACGCTCTCATTGAGCCACCACTCCGATAATGAGCGAACCTTCGTGATCTTGATGTTCGGATTCTTTGTCACGTCACGTATGCACACGTAAAGATACTTGCTGTCGTTCACGGCCTTATGCAGGTCAACCGTCTTCGGAATGAGTATTATGGACCAGAGCTTGTCGTCTTCTGCGTTGGGGCGCCACATGATCTTGTCGCCTTTCTCGCCACTGAAGCGATGCCAGTACTGGATGGAGGACATCAGACGGTGTGTACGAAGAAACGGTAGCGGAGACTTGCATCCCTGTCTTCGAGGCCTGGAAGCTCAACCTCGCCGCTGACCGAGCGTTGTTCGCTCGCTTCTCCCTCATGGTTGATGGCGACAAGTTTGCTTACTGGATCTGATCGGCCCGTTTAGCCATGTTGAGCAAAGACATACGGTCAAAACTGCCGCCTTTTGCACCCACGGCGCCGACGAGGTACTTGATACAAAGCTTCCGCTCTTTCCCTGAATAGTTGAGCGCCACGTCAGCGCCCGACTCGTCGTGCTTCAGGTCGATGAGCACGTTTGATAGCTCAACCTCGACGCCGTACTTCTTGAAATGATCGCGAAGGATAGCGCAGTTTGTATCCTGACCAAGCAGAATAGGAACGGGGTTTGATGCGCCCAATCAGCACATGTTGGATGAGTTTGGTGGTAAGCTGCAGACTGACGAAGGGTATCTCTGGTAACGGATCGCGTTGAACGAGCAAGTCCTCGTCCGTCAATATCTCGATGATTTTACCTCCGGAATCGTGCGCCTTCTGAGCGTAGTACGTGCCAGCCGTCTCAAGATCGTCCGAAAGGCAACCCAGTAGATGGTACACCTCTTCAGTGCGAGGCTAGATAGAGTCAATGAATGCGACAACGATCACGACGTGGACGGAAAAGCATTACCTGGATACCACAGCCACGCAGGCTGACGGGGAACCGGATCCCTTTGTCGATTACACGGATGAAGAAGCCACTCTGCGCCGAGGCAAAAGCGCCAACGAGCTCAACGGGTCCGGCGTCAACCTAACCCAAAGGACATGAGTTAGTACTGCACAGCCTATGAGCTTAGAGCGATTACTCACAACGATACGTCCACAGCAGAACACATGATTCAAAGCGAGCTACGCCACGCGCCGCACAGTACAGCACAAGGGATATCAATAGGGCATCCTGTTCACTCTCTTGGCTGAACTTTATGTGCCAGGGACCCCGCCAGACCCAATTTCGCGGCTATCTGGCCACTCATATAAACCGTCTGATGAAGTATAAAGTTAGTGAAAAGCGCTTTATTGCCGCGTTTCCAGTCGCATGAGTAGACTTGGGAGGCTCGATATAAGCCATGGCAGGATCGGGGTCTTTAGAAAAACAGCCGTGGCAGGTGGGTTTCAACGAGTTTAACCTCAGCTCCATTATGACGCGAGCTCTACAGCATGTACCAGGTGAACCAAGACAAGCTTGAGAGTATTTCCAACTCCTCTGTCGGTCATCAGATTGAACGAGACAGTGAGCAAAGGATTCGAATCTATGATGGTGGTGCGAAGGCTGGACGCATCCGCCGCATGGTGCGTCGGGCAACTCTCGGGGATCGTTCCCACGTTGGGATTACTGAACGAGAGCCGCCAGGAGAGGACTACTTACATCGCAGAGCAGTGCCGCATATACATCGTCAAAGGTACAGTAGGGGAAGAATACATAGCAGAGCATGTAGTATGCGAGAATGATGTCCGAGTTCAGACGAGCATATTCAAGAAGTACCTCGTCATACCATCCGCGTTCTTGATCAGCAGAACGCCGATCACACTATCAGGCCGAACTGTGCTTCAGCGCCATATGCACGATGTGCATGACCCTCGCCATCGACGAGAACGGCGCTAGCGTTGAGGGCGTACGACGATGGGTCTGCACGATCCCAGGGGAGTATCTACCCGCGGCAGCGGATACGTCGTTGGCGAGCGAGGGGTCGAACACTAGGATGGTGTGGCGAGTTGGATCGAAGATGTTGAAGAACTTAGGCTCAATGCCTGTGCGCGCGTCGCGAAGTGCAGGCGCATCCGGAGCGCGATCGCCGGCATAAAGGCCTCACGAGCGCTCGCTTCCTCCGCGAGCTCGTCCCAAACGATCGTACTCCAGCGATAGCGCATGCTGAGCTGGCGTAGCGCGACTGGGCGGCTCCACGCTCGTTGTCGTTGGACTTGAACAGCTTGTCCGCTAGCGCGTGCGTGACGTTTAGCATTGCGTGTACGACCGGTGCACGTTCTACGTAGTACGAGCCAAGGTGCGAGGGTGGTGTGAGGCCCTTGACGACGAACGCGAGCTTCCAGGTGGGTTCATCATGCCGAGTGTACCGGTGTTCAGGCCTTGCCCTCCAGTGGGGCTGTAGACGTGTCCGGCATCTATACAGGCGGAAAAGTACCATGGAACGCATATGATCAACGGCAATGCTTACCACCACCGATGAAAACACCCCCAACGCTGAACTTGCCGGCCACACGCTCGTTTAGTCGCCACTCCGCTGAAGAACGAATCTTCGTGATCTTGATATCCGGATTCCGCGTGATATCGCGCAAGCACTCATGGAGGCATTCAATGTCGACCGCCGCCTTCTGGGAGTCGATCGTTTGCCCATGAACCAGAGCTTGTCGTCCTCAGCGCCGGGACGCCAGACGACCTTGTCACCTTCGTCGTTGTAGAAGCGATGTCAGTACTGTTACAGTCATGAGCAGACGCACAACAAGTAGCTCCGAGAGATTTACAAACCGATCGTCCAGGCCAGATAGCTCAACATCGCCGATGACCGCGCGCGGCTTGCGCGTCTCGCCGACTAGGCTCATACTAACGAGCTTGCGCACAGGACCTATCATGCCATAAGCTATGCGTCCCGATGGGATAACATCATGAGACTTACCCTTTGCGCCCACCGCTCCTACAAGATACTTCACGCGCAGCTTCTCCTCGTCCTTTCCGTGGTGTACCAGCGTCACGTCAACGCCGGACTCAGCCTGCCTTAGATCGACCCATTCCATCGTCAAACTGACCTCGACGCAGCACTTCTCGAGGTGCTGGCGAAGGATGATGCAAGACGAGTCTTGACCAAGGAGATGGGCGTCGGCTGAGGAAACGATGAGCGTATGTCGCCATGATATAGAAACACGTTTCTCACATAGGGAACTTCGGGTGTAGGAGGAATATGGTCAATCGTGTTCTTGGCTTGCACGAGCTTGCCGTTGATATCGCAGACCTTTTGTGAGAAGCGCATGCTGGCATTCTTCTGGTAGTCCTCAAAGCATCCGAGGAGACGATACTCCTCTTAGTCCGGGGCTAAAAAAGACGTTAGACATGGCAAATGTAATGCAAGGTTGTCTGTCGTATCGCACCAGGATACCCGATCCGCGTTGACCTACAATGAGGTGGTCTTCCTTGTCGACGATGCGGACGGAGACTCCGTTCTGGGCGAGAGTTAAGGCGCAAGCAAGACCAACAGGACCAGCGCCAGCCTGAGAAAAAAAGGATCGTGAGTTGAGCTATTCCGTAGAGCTATGGCGCATAATAATCACGAGAACATCTGCAGAGCAAGAAGCAAGACATTATCTGAGATTGAAGACGAGTGGTAGCAGGTAGATCGCTGGTTGTTTGATGTAGACCGTGTCTTTACGCCTTATATTCTATTTCTGGGCTGCATCCAGACAGATCGGCGTACTGAGGGAGAACAAGCGAGCGTGCTGGACATGGTGGTGGTGGAGAGCAGGACGAACACTCGACGATGAGACACGAAGGACGCGTTCCGTCGGCCGCGGTTCAATCCTGTCGCGTAAGCACCTCTGACAGGACCCGCTCGTCTCGCCCAAGGATCCTTCGGTGGCTTGCATTCCGTCGTATAACCTCGACGGCGACTGATTGTACGCTGGCTTCGAGGCTTGCGCTACGAGAACAGCGGCAGTATCGGACAATCAAGTTTCAAAAGTGATACGGTGAATCATGAGCGGTACTAAAGATCATGGTACAAGAGTAGGGAAGAATATTCTGTATGCTACGGTACGCAGTGGTTTAGCACAAAGGCGCCCGACATTCCCTACACTCCTCTCACCCATCACCGGCGCGAGCCCCCTCCGCACGTAAACCGCCCCATTGTGCATCGTTCAGGCAAGACGCATCAGCCCATAGGCTTCCACGCTGCGAGCATCTGTTGGATGAACTTGAGACCCGGCTTCTGGACGTCGGCCACGCCGGCATCGACATTGTTAGCCATGATGAGGTCACTCATGTGGAAGCCGTTGTGAAGGCCAACATGTGAGGACGGTATGTGGAACGACAGAGTCTGCCGAGAGTGTGGCTCCTCTGCAGACGTCACCTGCAGCTCTGGTGACTAGTGTCAGTAAACGAACATCGACTGTATTGACCAGGATCGTGATACTCACGTACGCCGTTGGTGATGAAGACGTTTCAGACGTCTATATCCCAGCCCTTGTAGGTATTGTTCGTCTTTGCGATCTGTGCAGATGATGGCTCTCCGTCTGGAACCGTTCAGGGAAAAGGTACTGGAATTGTCTCTGTAAAGGTCGTCGGTAAGCAGCTGATATGCTCTATCTGAGGACTTACTAGCTCCTGACTCAAGGTCGCAGAGTGCGAGAGACGATCTTTGGTTGATCGTCATGGCACGCAGTACGGCGTGAACACTGGCACTCTAAAGTCCCAAGGGCACTTCTAAGCCGGAACCAACGAAGATCTAAGTTTAATCAGTATCTATATGACAGACCGAGGAAGATTGCCAATGTACCTCATTGCATTTGACCGACATCCAGGCGCGCGTTATATCGCCGGACTCTGTGCTGGTATAAACCTCAGAAGACGCATTGTACGTGTCCAGGCAGACACTGTCGAATGTTAATGACACAAAACAACCGCCGCCGTGCACAAATCGCACCTGTAGCTCTGGTTAGCCTATATGGCCGGAGGATACCCGTCTTTGAGGTCGGCGCCCCAAGCGGACAATGCGTGCTCGAGACCCCATCCCTCCGCCGGTGCAGTCCTGTCGACTTTGCCCTCAAGCCTGTCTCAGAAGATGTAGAAACCGTACATACTGCACGTCTTGCCACGCAGATAGCGGGGTTTTCCACTATACAGTGCGGCTTTGTGATCAGTAGCGTTGATAGCGCGACTGATGACGCTGCACTCACGCGTAACGGTTACGTCGTCGTAGTGCACAGCATCTTCTGGAACTGTGATATGAGCGCAGCAGCAGCCTCGGGTCGTTCGCAACCGCATCATAGTGAGCAACCACGGCCAGGATGTTGCTTGAGCAGATGAACGCCATGTGAGTCCTGGAGATTGTCTTTCAGACGACCAGACTACTAAGCAGAGTACATATCTGACGACGGACCTTATGAGCCAAAGAACAACCAGTAGTCGCTCTAGTAGACGCGCATCAGTACTAGTATACGTTGATGCTGATGCTTATCGTTCTTACACGATGACCTCGCCAACCGCGGAGGAGGCTCGTCCGGCAGCGAAGAGATCTGGCTCCCTATAGCATGGATCAGCAGAGGATACACGTTCCAGCTGGAGAGGCGTACGCAGCCATAATCCAAGCTGTCAAGCCCCCGGAGTAACTGCTGCCAACTAATACATACGGCGCACTGTTGGGATCATCGATGGGCGGGGGAAACTTGACGTCCCTCACGAAGTACTCCAGATCCTCGAAGCTCTGCGCGGGTGTAAGAATCTGCAAGCTCTGGACAGTGGACGGTGGGTCGTAATATGGATCCGACTCTCCGAGAAGGCTGATATGAAGGAAGCCATAAGGCAGTGCGTGGTCTAAAGAAGTAGACTAACCGATGTTCTATCAGACGATCATTAGCTCTTTCGTTCTACAAGCTTTCAAGCAATCCAGCTCACCGGAAAGATATTCGCTCCGCCATGTTGTTATTGAATCCGTCCCATGATAGTAGCGTATGCGAGGTAGCGGGTATACTCTGTGAGTCTATCAGCCAGTCACTGGCCGGAATTTCAGCGATGAACTTACGCCGAGTAATCTCCTTTCCTGTAGCCTTATTGAGTATTCGATCAGGAGCTCATGACAGACAGACATACCGGACGTAAAGAGTATGATAGGACCACTTTAAGCTCTGTAAGTTGAAGTTCGAACGCACAGGATTACGGTACGCACCATCTTCATAGAAGTGCCACGCCATCCAGTATCGCTGCTGAAAAGTGCCCTTGTCAGGGTCATTGTGATCGATGAGCTGGTCGAAGCAGTAGACTGTATCCAGTGATTGAACTGTGCTGCCGTTGGTGTCATGAGCACCATGGCAAGTCTGGACAGCGCTTATAGGTTGGGGATGCGGCGGTTTCAAGCCGGACGAGCGCGATGTTCAGGTTGAAGCCATTCCAGCGCCGGACACCGGACACCAGAATGGCCGAGCATCAAAGGAGCATATTGAGCATCGCAGCGGTGAGATCACGAGAGCATAGGCGACGAGTGGGGTCTCTAGTATATGAGTGCATGTCGAAGTCGGTGATAGTCGACCGTGTGGGTGGAGGTAGAAGCACGCGCAGTCCGAGAAAGCTTGTCGATCAGAGTTGAATGTGGGAGTGCTCCCTCTTCAGTCGTATTCTCTATGTCTGAGCCTGCAAGGGAGTGGTCCTGATTTCTATACATATGTATAAGTGAGGGGTGCGTGCGGGTTTGAACGGCGCGGCGTCGCTTGAAGCTGAAGGAATGGGGTATAGGCCGCGCCCGTGTCGTACCTGTATGAGTGGAAATAGCCACCCGTATTGACAAGAACCGACGGACGCTCTTGGCAGGCGTAAAGACTACTGTTACCCGGTTAATCTTCGGAAGGTGCCGTCGGACAGAAACGAATACGAGACCGAAGGCATGGCAGTGGAACAAGTATGATATGCAAGTGAGGGAAAGTCCGTATGTGCCGGAGAGGGTGAATCCAGTACCAGAAGACCAATTGGCCAGATGAGAGTAAGAGGATAGTAGCATGCGCCACGCGCGGCGGATCCTCGGCACGACTCGGCACTTGCCGTACTCTTCCCACCTCACGCTCAGGCATCCCTCTTGATGCCCTCGTGCCAGCCCCGTCGAGAGCTCGATGACTTCGAGGTAGCAAGGGTCTGCTTGATGAACGTGAGACCCTCCTTCCGGACGTCTTAGACGACATCGTTAGCGATGATCAAGTCGCTGGTGTGGAAGCCATCGTAAAGACCAATGATGGATTGCGGGACTCATGTGAGGCAGAGTGACGCCCAGAGCTGAAGGGGTCGAGTAGCGCCGTGGGCCACCTATAGTGTTACCCGAGCGAGTGCGTCGGTTGTAGCAGGATCATAAGAAGCCATCAATAGACTCACGCTCGCCGTTGCCGAAGAAGATGGTTTGCACATCCAAGTCCCATCCTTTATTAGTCTTGTCGGTCTTGAACATTTGAGCAGAGCGCCTGGCTGGGAGTCGGGGAAGTAGTACCCACATTACCTCTCACAATGACAACTTAATGGCTTGTGACAGGGACAGGCGCCACGGATGCATATAGTAGGCAGTTCTCAGCGCAACATTACATTTCGGTAGGTGCACAGTGCCGTACATCATCATGTACTCTGTCCACGGCCGGGGTTCCAGACGAATAGAGTATCCCCTTTGGGTTAGGGTTAGCGCTTGAAGACCTTGGATGCGCGTCGTGCGCTTCTCTTTTTGCTTGTGGTCTGGCCCATATCGGAGGTTCGGGCATCTTCGCGCATAGATTATGAGTGTGTTCAGCATGGTTCGTAGGAACTCGTCTCCAAGCAAGTACATGGGGTTATTAAAACGGCGATGATCTGAGCTACGTAGAGCGTCATTGTCCTGTCTATCCAACTTCACCTGGAACTTCGGACATAACATCGTGAATTGGAGGCTAATAGTACTCAGATCAGTATAAGCCGCAAGTCGCTGAGACTTGTGATCCGACGTACTCATTCCCGGAACGTAGATAGGGCCTTGATGGCATCATCACGTTTGCGCCATCAGATTCCAGTACAGTGTTCATTGCGCCGTTCCAGCCAAGAGCAGCATACCGAGCCACAACCCAGATCACGGCAAGAAGGAAAAATGTCACCATTCAAGACGTGCTTGTTCATTCACCGGTAAGGAGGAAGAGAGAAGGTACAGGTTGAATGAGGCTGCCAGCTCCTGCGTTGTAAGGAACACCCAAAGAGTAGGGCCAGTGAGGGGGTCCGATCTGATGAACCCCTCAAACAAGCTCCGACATGAACTAGAGGCTGGGTGCAGATGTACGCTTATGTGGCTTCTACGCGTCTTGTGCGTGCCGATGCGCTCCGACTTGAGGCCTTCGCCGCCTTCGTGAAAGATCATATCACGCGACTCGAAGATGCGCGCGCTACCGCAAACCATTGCCTTGCGCTTGACGGCAAACCCGATGAAGCGCCACCTGACCGTCATCGACTGAGGGCTCTTGCGCTGGTAGCGACGGAACGAAGGCGTTGCAAGTAACACCGAGAGTGCGGATATGAGTGACGCCGGGCTTGTGCCGGGGGAATGGGCGGGGGGAGGGGGCGGCGAGTTGGCGTGGATGGTGCAGACCGCAATTCGCGCAAATCA